CTCACTGAGCCTGTCCTCCGCGCACAGGCAAGAGTGGCCCGAGCTGCAAGTACTGCAGGGACGACCCCAACAAGCTGTGCCGCGTGTGCGCCTGCCACCGGTGCGGGGGCCGGGAGGCGCCCGACAAGCAGCTCATGTGCGATGAGTGCGACATGGCGTTCCACCTGTACTGCCTGGACCCGCCGCTCAGCAGTGTGCCACCGCCCGAGGAGGACTGGTGAGCTGAGCGCCGGGCGCCCCATGTCTGCTCGCCTCCAGCGGGGTCCCTCTGGGCTGATGCCCCTGTGGTCGTAGGTACTGCCCCGATTGCCGGAACGAACCCAGCGAGGTGGTGCTGGCCGGGGAGAGGCTACGAGAGAGCAAGAAGAAGGCGAAGATGGCGTCGGCCACGTCGTCCTCTCAGCGGGACTGGGGCAAGGTGAGGCGGGTCGTCCCCTGCCCCGCCCCCGCCCCCCTCCTCCCCTCAGATGCTCACAGCTGTCCCTTTTTGTCCACTGTGCAGGGCATGGCGTGCGTGGGGCGCACAAAGGAGTGCACCATCGTCCCATCCAACCACTATGGACCCATCCCAGGCATCCCTGTGGGCACCATGTGGCGATTCCGCGTGCAGGTACTGGCCGGTCTGCTGGGGCTGTGGGGCACAGTGCTGTCCAGGGGCCCCCAGGTCCACTGGGCTCCTGTGCTCACCAGGCTGGTTCACGGTATGCAAGGCAGTGACGCACCTGCGGCCGTCTGCACTCCCGGAGCAGGAGGGTGGGGGCCCGGGAGCCCAGCGACACAGCTGGTCCCATGCTGGTGTAAGTGTGTGATTGCCGCGTGCCCTGAGGCCGCCCCAGGGCTGCTGTGCCAGGGCCGAGCTGGCATCACTGGACCGCACCTGTTTTCCCCACCAGTCCTCATGTGTAGTGACGTCCCCTGCCTTTGGTGACTGTTAGTACCTGGTGCCACCAGCATCTTTGTGTGCTACTTTTGGTGTTTTTTTGTTCTTTAGTATTGGGGATGAAACCCAGAGCCTGCACACTGAGCTACATTCCAGTCTTTTTTATTTTTATTTTGAGGCAGGGTCTTGGCAAAATAGCTAGGCTGGGCTTGAACTTGCTACCCTCTTGCCTCTGCCTCTCAGAGCTGTGGGATGACCGTTGTGCTTCACTGTGTCTGGCTAGCCTGGGTTTTGTTTTTGGTTTCGGAGCTCAGGGACTCATGTGTGCTAGGCCAGTGCTGTGCCCCTGAGCTCTGTCCCCAACCCTCTGGCAGCCTGTGCACTGTGTGCAGGGTGGAGGAGACACACAGCCACTGCTGACAGGGCCAGCAGACTCTGTGGGTGTCCACGGCCCCGAGCAGCATCCCCGGCCTCCATCCGCTCCAAGCCAGTCACCCACACTGTGACAACACAAACGGCCCAGGGTGCCCAGGGCAGGTCTGCTGGGTGAGCAGACCACACTTCCACTTTGGGCGGAGCGGACCCAGGCACTCCCCTTTGTGTCCCACTGCAGAGCTGGGTGGGCCTGGCTGAGCACAGGGCTGCCCTTGGTGCGCAAGACTGCAGGTGACGTGTGGCCCAAGTCATGGGTGGGGACGCCAGGCCTCACAGGGTCGGGGGTCAAGACGTGGTGCTGCTCTGCCGTGGTCACTGCTGATGGTGCTGTCTGTCTCTGGTGTCCACAGGTCAGTGAGTCTGGCGTCCATCGGCCTCACGTTGCAGGCATCCACGGGCGCAGCAATGATGGCGCCTACTCCTTGGTCCTGGCCGGGGGCTATGAGGACGATGAGGTGAGTGAGTTGGGGTGGCTTTGCTTTTTTCTTCCTGTTGAGACTTGTTTTTAAGGCAGGGTCTCATTGTGTAGCCCAGGCTGTCCTCGAATTCTTGGCAATCCTGCCTCACTCAGGAGTGTTGGGATTGCATGTGTGCACCACCATGCCTGGCTTACTACCTATTATTATTATTGTTTTTTTTTTACTGTACTGGGAATTGAACTCTGGACCTTGCACTTGGCAGCGGAAGCACCGCTGAGGTACATCCCTGGGGCATCTATTTATTTTTAAGTGTGTTAATTGCCTGCTCCTTCCCATTGTTTCCACATCGAGCTCGAGTCAGCCATAGTCCAAAAATAATAATAAATGGAACATTCCAGATCTAACCTACTCACACATTTAAAGTTCTGTGCTGTTCTTTTTTTTTTGGTACCAGGGATTAAACTGGGGTCCTTGCACTTGCGAGGCAGGCGGTGGAACAACTGAGCTAAATCCCCAGCCCTCTGTGCCATTCTGAATGGCACGTTGTACTCTGTTGCTGCCCAGGCTCATTCTTAGTCCAGTGTTTCCACATGGTATGTGCTACCTTCCCATTAGTCACTAGGCAGCCATTCTGGTTATCAGGTTGAGCACTGTGTAGTATCACAGCACTATGTTCCTGTAATTACTTACTTAATAGGGGCTCCCAGATACCAGAGGAGTAAGGTGGCAGTGCATATGCCAGCTGAAAGCAGACAATGCTTCCCATAAATGAAAACATAAAAGTTCTTGACTTTGTAGTCCTTGTACACTGAAGTTGCTGAGAATAAATTTAACTGGAGTTGTGAGGGAGAAAAACGAAAGTTGTGCCAGTTGTGGTAAGTGGTTACTTAAGGAAAAAGTATTAAAATTAGAAGTTCGGAACTGGGAATAGTGGCACGCGCTTGTAATCCCAGTACTCAAGAGGCCGAGGCAGGAGGATCCCATGGGTTTCAAGCCAGCCTAGGCTACATAGTGAGTTCAAGGCCAGCATGGACACCATAGTGAGAACCTGTCAACAAAAAACAAAAAGACAGGGCCAGGGCTCTGTGGCACTGTACTACCTCCCTCACAAGTGCAAGGTCCTAAGTTCTATCCCTGGTACCAAAACCCCCCTCCAAAAAAAGAAAATAAATAAAAGAGTTTGGTACAATCTAAAGCTTTACGCATTCACTGGGGGCCGTGCAGCTCAACGCCCTCAGCTCACAGCACTCAGTGCATCCTCACGGCTGTGTGGCCGTCACCACCGTTCACCTCCAGGCTTCCCATCTCCCTAATCGAGCCCCCCTCTCCAGGAAACCCCGGCCCCTCCCCAGCCCGGCAACCCATCCCCCTTCCTGTCCCTGTGGGTCTGACTACGCTGGGCCTCCTGGGAGCGGGGCCCTGCCCTGCGTGTCCTCCTGTGTGTGGCTCAGCTCCTGAGCAGCGCAGCCTCAAGGGCCCATCCCCAGTGGAGCAGTGTCAGGACTCCCTTTCTTTTCCTGGCTGCGTGATGCTCCACTGAATGGATGGACCTTGGGCTGTCCCACCTTTTGGCTCTTGTGAAAAATGCTGTGGGGCCGGGGATTTAGCTCAGTGATTCTTCTGCCTGCCTTGTAAGCATAAGGACCCGAGTTTGAGCCCAAGTACAAAAAAAAAAAAAAAATACTATGCACACGTTGTACAAACATGCCTTCAAGATCTGCTTTCAGCAAAGCTTTTGTACATAGGGAAGGAAGGGGGATGGAGGGGGCGGAAATGGGATAAAATTAAAAAAAAAAAAAAAAGAACTGTTTTCAGTTCTCCTGGGTATGTATCCAAGCAGTGGAATTGCTGGGTAATGCGATTTTTCTTTTTCTTCCCCCACCCCCAGCTGGAGATTCAACTCTGGGTCTTTGCACTGAGTTACTTCTTTAGGCCTTTAAATATAATTTTTTAAAAGAATTTTGAGTCAGGGTCTTGCTAGGTCACTGTGTTGCCTTGGCTGGGTTTGATCTTGCCATCCCCCTCTCTAGCCTCCCAGAGTGTCATATGGCCATTTTATGTGCAATTTCCGGGGATTGAACTTGGGTCCTTGTGCTTGCGAGGCCAGTAGCGGAACCCCTGAGCTAAATCCCTGGCCCCTATGTGCGGTTTCGTGAAGAAGCACCTTCCTGTTTCCTCAGCAGCCGTACTGCGTTACATCCCCGGCACAGCACTCACGGGCCCATCTCACGTTTTCACCCGTGCTCCCTTCTTTGACACTCACCATGCTGGTGGGCGTGTGGGCCGTTTCCCTGGCTCCCTCCTCCTGGGTGGAGGGCTCACCGACCCCTCTTCTCTGTTGCAGGACAATGGGAATTCTTTCACCTACACAGGTAGCGGTGGTCGCGATCTTTCTGGCAACAAGCGGACTGCCGGGCAGTCGTCTGACCAGAAACTCACCAACACCAACAGGTTTGTGAGATGAGTGGTCTTGTTTCTCCCTGGGGGTCCTTGGTTCTGATCCGGTGTGGCACGTGGCAGGTGCATGGCCCGGCACAGTGTGTAGCAGGGGGTGGAGGAGCCTGACTTAATTTCTTCCCTTGTTTGCTAAAGCTGTGCGTGTCATGCAGGTGGTTTAAAGCGCTGTCTGTCAGGGCACCTGCGGTTTCCAGTTTGCTGTGCACTTGGTCTTCGTGGCAGACGCTTGGCTTTGCTGTCATAGTGCAGCAGCCAACACAGGCCACCTGTGAGCAAAGGACCGGGACTGTGTGCCTGTAAAGTACTTGCGAAAACCAGGCTCTGGTCAGACTTTTCTGTCCCCGCACTGCCAAGTGGGGTGGGCTTTTCAGCATGAAAAGCATCACACAACCCAAGGGAAAAGGCTGGGAGACGGGATGGGCTGCTGGGGGAAGGGCACCTGAAACGAACGGCCAGTGACTGTCGCGGAGGAAAATGTGCCCACTGTGGCGACAGCTGTGTCTGCTGTGTCTAGACGACTAGCGGAAAGAGGGAGGGACACGCGGACAGCAGTGTCTGTGGTTAATCGCTCACCTCCAGTAATCAAGGAAATACAGATCGAGGCAATAATGTTCAGACCCTGTGAAATTGGCCAAAAACTCCAAGATGTTGAGAAACAACAGGGCAGAAACTGATGTTCCACTCTTAAAACTCAAGCTGCCGCTGTCTCCAGAGAGCTCTTTGCACAGACAGTAGATATAATATATATAATATATATAATATATATAATATTTCCGGCTCCCAAGTCCAGTCTTGACTCCCCCGCAGGGCCCTGGCTCTCAACTGCTACGCCCCGATCAACGACAAGAAGGGCGCAGTGTCCAAGGACTGGCGCGCGGGGAAGCCGGTGCGGGTCGTGCGGAACATGAAGGGTGGCAAGCACAGCAAGTACGCACCTGCCGAGGGCAACCGCTACGACGGCATCTACAAGGTGAGCGGCGCGCTGGGCTGTGGCGCGCTGGGCTGTGCGCTCCCGGAACGGCCCTGTGACCACGCCTACTCCCTCGGCCACTCCCTTCAAGGCCCCGCCCACACCCCTGGCCCCTTCCGCTTTAGTCCCCCCAGACCACGCCCTTCAGGCCGCGCCCCTCACAAGGCCTCCCCGGCCACGCCCCTTTCAGGCTCCACTTCCCAACACCCCCTGCCCATCTGTTCCTGCAGGTGGTGAAGTACTGGCCCGAGAAGGGCAAGTCCGGCTTTCTCGTGTGGCGCTACCTCCTTCGCAGGGACGATGACGAACCTGGACCCTGGACGAAGGAGGGGAAGGACCGCATCAAGAAGCTGGGGCTGACTATGCAGGTGCGCCCAGGCCTGACACCCACGCGGTGGTGACCCCGCTTGGCTCCGCTGTGTACTTTCTGCTGTGTCTTTGGGCGCCCACTCGGGGTGGGGCAGGTGCCAGTTTGGGGTCAGCAAGTAGCGGGCACCCAGGCCTGAGGCTCCCTCCCTGGCTCCGAGTCTCTCCTGGAACTACCTCTGGCTCCCCTAGCTCCGGGTCGCCTTTCCAGGCCGCATGGTGAAGGAGCGACCTCGCGGGGGTCAGGTGCTGGGTGGCACTTGGGTTTGCGTGTGGAGGGAGAGCTAGACCTGCTTGGCATGGCCGTGTTCACGGGGGCTTCGGCCCGTCTGGGGAAGCGGCCTTTCCTCTGTGCACCACCTCTGCCCACTCCAGAGAAGCAGAAGGCAGCCAGTAGAGCAGGCAGAGGGCAAGGCTTGCAGAGAGGCAGAGGAGGAGGGAGAGGGTTCGCTCGCTCTGTCTTCGGAGAGCCGTGCGGGCTGTAATTATGGTGTCTGCTGCTCACTCCCTGCGCGTTGCTGTAAAGCGCGTAAATGTTGGGCACTATTTCAGGAATCTTAATTGCTGGTGCGAATCAATAGCGCCTACCCCCGGGGCACGAGGGGCTGTCACCTGAACGTGTGCCTGTGGCACCCAGGCCGTGGGGCTGGCTGCCGTGCGGTTGAGGATGTCACCTTCTGGCAGGCACAGTTTTTATTTGTGACTTTGGTCAGCACCACAACCGCAACTTTTTCGGGAGGTGGGAGGTTTGGCTTTGCTGTGGAGGCTGGGTCTTGCTGTGTGGCCCAGGCTGGCCTTGTGTGCGTGTTACGTGCAGGGGACAGAAGCCAGAGCCTCATGCACCCTGGGCAAGCGCTCGGCGCGGCTCCGCACCCCGGCCTGTGGCAGTCGCTTGTAGGAGAGGGAGTGGGGACCGGGCGTCGTGGTAAGGACCGCGTCCGCTGTCGTGCAGTACCCAGAGGGCTACTTGGAAGCCCTGGCCAACCGGGACAAGGAGAACAAGAGGGCGGCTGAGGAGCAGGAAGACCTGTCGCCCTCCAAGAAGGGCACGTGGAAGCGGAAGTCAGCAGGTGCGTGTGTTCGCATCCCCGAGTCCCCTGACCCGCACAGGCGCCAGCCGCTCCCTCACGCTTCGTCTTCTCCAGGCCAGACTGGGTCCGAGTCGCAGACCACCAAGAAGACCAAGCTGGAGCCCTACAGCCTCACGGCCGAGCAGAGCAACCTCATCAAGGCGGATGAGAGCAATGCGAAGCTGTGGACTGAGGTCCTCACGGCACTCAGGGAAGGCTCGGTGAGTGGGCTCCCCTCAGGGACGCATTCTGGGGCAGCCGCCAGTCGGTCCTCGTTCAAGCACACAGCTCAGCAGCATTGAGTGCATCCCACGGCTGCACCATCCCCGCCGTCCACCCCCACGACTTTCCATCCCCCCAACTCTGCCCAGGAAACGCTGACCCCGTCCCCTCCCAGCCCGGCACCGCCGTCCTCCTTCCTGTCCCTGTGGGTCTGAGTGCACTGGGCCTCCTGGGAGCGGGGCACTGCCCTGCGTGTCCTCCTGTGTGTGGCTCGGCTCCTGAGCAGCGCGGCCTCAGGTTCATCCCTGCTGTAGCAGTGTCAGGACTTCCTTTTCGTAGCTGAATAATATGCCAGCGTGTGAGTGGATCAAGCTACGTGTATCCATCTTCCCCTTGTAGTTCCACTTTTGAGCTGTGTGTGCTCATTCTTCTTCGATCCCAGTGTACAAATGTCTTTTCTGGCTCCTGCTTTGATTTTTTTTTTTTTGAGGCAGCATCTCCCTTTGTGTAGTTCAGGCTGGCCCTGAACTCACTATGTAGCCTTGAACTCACGGCGATCCTCCTGCCTCAGCTTCCCAAGTGCTGGGATCGCAGGTGTGCGCCACCACGCCCCGGCCCCTGCTTTGATTTCGAGGCATTCCCAGGTGTGAATTGCTGGATCACGATGGGGGTCTGGGTTCCAAGTCAGACCTATCTCTTGGTCTTTCTGCCCTTAGTGGGGTTTGACACTGATAGGTCGTTGTTCTCCAGCCACTGTCTCCCCTCCCTGACCCATATGAGTCTGTTGCGGGTCCCGCAATAAATGACCCCAAGCCTAGTAGCTCAGAACAAACCAGATTTAAGCTGTCACTGGTTTGAAGGCCTGAACCCTAAATGTTCAGAGCTTTCTGGTGGAACTGGAGACGTGGGCAGGGCCAGTCTTGGTGGCCCCATGGCTTCCTGTTTCTCTTGGAAGCTGCTCCCCTCAGTGCTCTTGCCTGCAGTCTCCTGTCTGTGAGGGTCCTGTTTGTAGGGCCCAGGTCTCTGCCGTGGACGTCTCTGGGTCCCCATCCAACCTCCCACTGCTCCTTCTGGCCTCATTCATGAGTCATCTTCTTCATGGGGCTTTCTCTACCCACTCTGCATTTGTGGGCAGCTCCTGCTGCTCTCTGCTGTCCCCAGCCCCACGGATGTTTTTTGTTTTGTTTTTCTGTTTGTTTGTGGTACTGGGGATTGGACTCAGGACCTTATGCTCACCAGGCAGGTGTGGCGCCACTGAGCTACATCCCTGGCCTTTTAGATTTTTTTGGGGGTGATCAAACTCAGGACCTTGCACTTTTGAGGCAGGTGGCAGAACCACTGAGCTAAATCCCTGGCCCTGTTTTCAGTTTCTGAGATGGGGTCTCGCCATGTAGTTCCAGCTGGCCTTGAACTCACTGTGTAGCCCAAGCTGGCCTCAGAACTACTGGCGATTCTCCTGCCTCAGCCTCCCAAGTATAGGATCATAGGTGTGCGCCTCCACACCTAGTTTTTTTCCACATCTTGGCGCCTCCTCCAAACCTAAGTCTGAGGGGCTTCTTTCTGATCCATCCCTGTGCCGGGGCCCATTTGGGGCACCCTGGGTGTGGCCTGCATGGATCCGAGTTTCCGTTCTTCGTCAGGAGATGGCACCCAGCTGCTCCTGCTCAGGGTGGGGCACCTGGGCATGGCTGACACCCCTGTCCCTGTGCAGTTCCAGGTGTTCCTGAGCAAGGTGGAGGAGACGTTCCAGTGCATCTGCTGCCAGGAGCTGGTGTTCCAGCCCGTCACCACCGTGTGCCAGCACAGCGTGTGCAAGGTGAGTGTGGGGCGCCTGGCAGGCGGTGATGGAGCCCCTCGGCAGGTCCCTGCCCTCAGCCTGTTGCATAGCACGGCTAAAGGGTCAGTGGGCAGGGGGAAGCTTCCTGGAGGAGGAGGTTGGATGGGGCGGCACCTCGGGAACAGCTGGCACCTGGAGGGGACACGGGCGCCAGCCCTGGGCCCTGCTGGCTGTCTTAGCACCCCTCGGTCTCTTCTGCCGCTGTCTCCTGTGCCAGCAGGGTTCAGGGGACGTAGAGCCCAGTCCCTAGGCCGGTGAAGCTGTCGCACCCAGGGAGAGGTGGCGGCGGGGTGAGGGGTGAGCTAGACAGGCCTTGGAGATGACAAGCCCGTCCTGGCAGCCAGCCTGGGCCACAGTTGCAGAAGCTAGTGAGCCTGGCACCACTCAGGGACCCTGCAGA